TTGATTGCAACGTTTATGAATTAAAACTCATAGTGAATTTTACACCATTTTTATCAAAATTGGAAGTTTATTTGAAAGGTTTTTGAATCTTAATATCAAATATAACAAAAACATTAAACCTTAATAGCTTTCATTATTACCTTCGAAAGTTGCGGGAACGATAACTACCAATAATAAGGCTCGTTTCGAATGATAGATGGAGAAAATTGCTTAACGACCATATGTGTTATATAACTCTTATTATAAGGTAATAAGGTTTATATTATTATGATATTTTTTTTGGAACATCTGCATCTTAGGTTTTTATTAATTTAAACTCTATTATCTTAGGTACATGATTCATTTTCATGTTTAAAGGTCCACCAAATTACAAATTATATAGGAGTGTATGAGTTATGATCTATTGAAGCAACATATGGAGTGAAACAACTAAATGTGTAAACAATTATATGTTTTGTATCTTATCACTTATGTAAGAAAATATAATATAATATTTAATGTCCTATGATTGTTTTATTACCAAAAAGCAGTACCTTTTTCTCCTCTGTCAAACGATTTTCTTTTTGAAGTTTTACTTCTTTTGGCACGTTTGAAAAAAATATGAGAGTAAAATTTTTACAATGCGCGCGCACACCGACAGCCAAAAAGCGACATGATGAAGTTAGGTGCATTTCTTTTACAAATAGAGAGTTGTGACATACGGGATGAAATCTGTAGCTATTTTTGTTCTGTTACGCTGAAGAATACTCATATTAAAGTACACACATTGTAGTATAGCTACTGACGAGTTTTACTGTTATAAAGAAAAATTTGGAAACAGTCATTTTTATAAATATGGTCGAACCATTGGTTGATTGTTATATAAAGAATCTTATTTAATATCGTTAATTTAATTTTGTGTAATTATAGTCGCTTGTAGGTACTACTAGTAACTATAGTATTATTTGATCTGTGCTTGTGCGTTACGTTTCTTAGAAATTGCCTTACCTTAAAGTTGTACATTATACGATTTCACTTATCTATATATAGTTATTTAATTAGGTACTTTTTAAGTTAAAATGTAGGTTCATTGATTTCAAAATCAGTTACCGAAATTAATGAAATTCACCTTTAGTAGTTTTTTAATTTATACTTATGAGGTAGAAATAATCAATTCATGAAATCAAAGAGGAATCGTGAAATGACGAATTTTTCTTATTTATAATTTATTCATTTAAATTTTTTAAATTAGGTATCTTGAAAGAAAAAAAATGAACGAAATAAAAAAAAACTGTAGGTAATTGTACTACAGTATTTTCATGTTTGTTTAGTCGATAAACTTAAATAGTAGATACCTACCTATTTATTAATATAATCATTACTTAAAACTATACCTATGTGTATCCGTTTTATTACTTTTATAATAGCATTTTATCAAAATAATCATCATGACGACACTTTGTTCTAGAGCAGACATATGACAAGTGAGAGAAATACACGTAAAAGCGTAGCGATTTTATTTAAACCATACCGTAATGTATGGCTGTATAATAATTATCTAAGAAAACTAACCTTTTTGCAGACGTACATGTCTCTCATAGGAATCATTTAATATAACGCGGTTATATAATACAATAACATTCCAACTAAGTATATCTTTAAAAAATGTCTTGAATCTTCAAAAAATAATACATAATAAAATTAAAAAAAATCTTTCAAAAATAATAAATGCGGAAGTTTGTATACATGTGTGTATGTGTGTTACTCCTTCACGCCGAAACGACTGCACAGATTTGAATGAAATTAAGTACATAGTAGATAGAATACGCCCTGAAGTAACACATACTGTTCTACAATTAAAATGACACCCAAAGGAAGCGAGAATAAATTGCTAGTAAATAAAAAAAATATTAAACCGACCAAGCAAAATCGAACCCGCTAATAGAGCAGACCGATAGAAACTCTTTCTACCATAACAGTCATGATAATCTTATTTACTTAATTATACATACAGAATTTTAATTTCGAGGTGTAACATTAAAAGAGGAAAAATTGTAATTTTCTGGCATCATCTCTAATTAATTATAAGCAGCTGTCTAATTAATACCAGATTAAAGCTGGTTTTATAATTACTTTTGTCAATTTAAATTTAAATAATTAATATTATAAGGTCCGTGAAAAAGACAAAAATTATATTATATCTATTTTATAATATACATACATGTGTTCTACTGACAAAACTAACTTCAAGTTTGTTTGTTTGTCTGTCCTTCTTTGGCGTCGAAACCGAGTAACGGATTGTTGTGTTTTTTTTTTTGTAGAGATAGTTGGAGGGCTGGAGAGTGACATAGGCTACTTTTTACCGCGGGAGATTATCTCATTCCCACAGGAAAACACGTTATAATACAACCCAAAAAAATTATTATCGGAATAATAGCCATATCAAAAATAGCCTCTAGTAAAATTAAAATACCACCAAATAAGTTTCACTAAACGAAGTTTGGAAATATTAATAAAAATTATTAATAAAAAAATATTTCCTTTTTAGTAACATCTATGAATGTTACTACCTGTCTTGTCTACCTAGTTTGCATGCTAAAAAATTGGCAATATGATTGAGTCCAGTACCATAATTATAAAATGATTTGTTCTTTTTTCAACCTATAACTTTAGTCTCTAACATACTTTATTATTAACGCGTTGTTTATAAAGTATTATATTTTATAGTACTAAACTACAGCTAGTGACATCTAGGGAATAAAAGAAAAAACATTTAAATTTACTATTGAACGCTAGATGGCGTAGTAGATGTGCATGAAATGTTTCGTAATATTTTTAATAGATGGCGCTTTTAATTCTTTTTTTTACTTTTATACAATCTTTACTATAAATAAATAAATAATCATGATCATAATATTTAATAGATTGTTAATATTTAAAAATATTTATATTACATTATTAGTAGTATAAATATTTGTGTCCAGCGGTTGACTTTGACATTAATATATTTTGAAAAAAATTCAAGGTCAATACTTTTCTTTGAAATAGATATTAATATGATTTCTTATTTTACAATGTACTTATTGCATATTTTATATTGTTATAGACAATAGTGCGTGGGCGTGCTATAGGAGAGGCTTATATCCATCCAGCAATGGACAAAAGCTGGTCAGCAGCAGCTGAATATGATAATATTGTTATCGTAGGTATTAAAAATGAGTGAATTGTTCAAAACTTGCCTTAATTTGATAAAATCAAAATTCTGACTGTAGGTCATATTATTCCTAAAAAAATTAAATACTAGCAACTATCTGATTTGCCCCGTCTTTAAAACTTAATTATGCTCTGCATTGCAAGGTGAGTTAAAATGTAAACTAGTTTTGCAGTCTTTAGTTTCTACTATTCATGACATCTATTGAAATTTCATTGCGAGTGTACATTAAGAGATAGACTTATGCTTGATATTGTAGACTTTTCTGTAGGCCTTTGTATCCTCCTGAGACCTTCGTTTTTCTAGTACATTGATGTGATGTATTATTCATGTAAATTTCTAAGAACGAATCGACAGTATCAGTTATGATAATTTTTTCGAAGGACTGAAAGATTTTCGTGCAGTAAAAGTTTCCCAAACGTTAACTTGAGTAATAAGCTATCACTACACAAAATTTTGTTAAAATTGCTCCAGTAGGTACCTACCTATTGCATGAAACGCACATATCTAAACAGACAAGCAGACAAACATTTTGAATAACACTATAGTTGAAATTATTGTTTTTTTTAATATTTCATGTTTAGATTTCGCTAAGTTACTATTTTATTATAATTGTATAGTACATTAAACACTTCCTCACTTTGCTCGTGTTCGTCCATAGACACCCTACGCGTTTATGTGTTACTCCAGTTCATAGTCTGTGTACTAAATCACATCCAAATCCGTGCAGCCGTTTCAGTAAATACGAGTGGGTACAAACACACATACAAAATTAGGCATTTGTAATAGTCCGACGTATGGTCAGAATTCAAATCCACAAATCGGACTATTAAAAAAATGTACCACATAATAATTTAAATTTTAGCACGTATTTATGTGAGTCACATAACACATGGTGAATTTAAAATTCGAAAGCTAGTAGATAAATAAAAGTCTCAGAAACCGTATAATATTTTTATTTCATCAGTATTACAATATCGTTGTCAATATTCTCAAACTTAGATAATATAGTAGCTAAAAACCTATATCTTTAATATGTACTTAGTTTTTATTATATACTAAGAAATTTAATATATTAATTTTATGTTTTTTATTATAAGGCGTTTTTGAGTTAATATTAACTGTAAAATGTCAACAATATATCATATTCATATAAGAAAACAAACAATTATTGTGTATTAGTTTATTCGTAACAAGCGACTTACCCTCGCTTCGCTCGGGTGCGTTTCAGTTTTTGAGCTAAACCCTAATTCTTTTTCTAAAATGGAAGTTAAACCTAAATTTCTCCTTATAGCATCAGTTATCAGTGAAAGTCCCGTCAAAATCAGTCCAGCCGATTCGAAGATTAGCCGGAACAAACAGACAGACAAAAATTAAAAAAATAATAATTTATCTAATAAATACCGTATATAATTTCATACGTACCTATTATGTAAAAAGCTGTTATTTTGACATTACAAGCGACAATACAACAACAATTGAATTTTATTTATCTGTATAGATTATTTCTGCTGTTTAAAAATGTTTTTTTAACTAATGAGGTACTTTTTATTATTTTACTATACAATAAATTGCCTTTAGTCAATGCATAAAACCAGCCATTTTATGCTTTGACTAACACAATAACATGAATAAAGTTTATATTATGTAATCATAAATAGATTTTAAAATAATATCCACATAAATGACTAGAGGATAGTATTATAAATTATTATATTATTTCAATATAAAAATCGATGAACATGTGTTTATAATATGTAATCTAGACATAATAGAAGTAGATACATATAAAATGTTATTTCAGTGTTCATTGAAAGGCGTCATATAACGAGTCTTGTCCACGGTCTAGTTTGTACCGCTTGGGTTTCTCCGTGTCGTCTTCTATATAATCACACGGTGCTAAGAGCTGAAAAAATATATAATGTTAGAAAAATAATGGCGTCAAATTATGTGTTCTGTCTACTAACTAACTGACTCGTTTATCACTGGTTTATAAACTTATTATTAGACAGATTTTGATGCAACTTTTTATTATTGTAGTGTAGTATATACATTATTCAGCCCTTTTTAACGTCCCACCGCTGGGCACGGGTCTCCCTTCAATACGAGGGGGATCAGGTCATAGTCCACCACGCTGGCCAAGTGCAGGTTGGTGTGCGGACTGCACATGTCTTTCGAAAACTTACCAGGTTCTCTCAGACATGCAGATTACCTCTTGATGTTTTCTTTCACCGTAAGACAAGTGGTAATCATGTTGGAAACGATTCGCACATAAAAATATCAGAGGTGCGAGACGCGACCCGGGGTTTGAACCCGCTTCACTCGGTTTCCCAAGCGAGTGCGCTAACATTGCCTTTAATCTCGAAAGTAATAGCAATAGTACTACTAATAAGTTTATTATTTATGGATATTTTTTCTGTACTTTTATAGATAGTAGTTACTTCTTATAGACTTAACATCGCTGTAACGAAACCTTTTTTAACCCCCGACGCATAAAAAGGGGTGTTATAAGTTTGACGTCGATGTCAGTCTTTCTGTGTGTGTGTGTGTGTGTGTGTGTGTGTGTGTGTGTGTGTGTGTGTGTGTGTGTGTGTGTGTGTGTGTGTGTGTGTGTGTGTGTGTGCGTGCGTGCGTGCGTGCGTGCGTGCGTGCGTGCGTGCGTGCGTGCGTGCGTGCGTGCGTGCGTGCGTGCGTGCGTGCGTGCGTGCGTGCGTGCGTGCGTGCGTGTGTGTGTGTGTCTGTGGCATCGTAGCTCTCAAATGGATTGACCGATTTCGATGCGGTTTATGTTTGGTTAATATCGGTCCAGCAGTGTAAGAGTATCGGCTCTTTTCCAAAATGATATAAGGCATTTTGGCGTATTATTACTCGATTAAGTTTTTTAGTTTTTAAGGGTTGTTCCTTAAACTATAAGTATTTTTAAAATTTTTAATTTATCTAATAATGGCATGATATACTACATATACTATGTTGAGTTATGTCTTTGTAAAAAATAAAAGGTAGGTTACTGTTTAATTATAACTAAATTCTTTTTCTGTTTTCCAATTCAACTTATTATTTTACTAGCGACTTACACTCGCTCTGCTCGGGTTCGTCCTTTGGTACATTTAAACGGTATACATTTCTCAAAGATGAGATATTTTCCCGCAGTAAATAGTATCCTAAATGTTGACCCGATAAGTAGCTATCATCATACCAAATTTCATCAAAATCTGTCCAGTGGTTTTCTCGTGATGTGTTCCCAGACAGACAGACAAAAATTCTAGAAATATAGATTCAACCTTCGTATCGATAATAATGACTATTTCAATAAGATATTGAATGAAGAATGAATGAATAAAGAAAAAATATTTAATATACAGATTCGATAAGTAATAATACAACATTAACTTTTTAATTCATATCTCAAAAGTCCTTATAAAAACATATTCTAAACTAAGTTTTGGACTTCAAAATTGTCTACCAAAAAACCAACCTGATCTGTCAAAGGTTTTCCTTCTAGCAAATACTTTAGCTTCTGCATTTGGCATGGGTTTAGTATTTTATCAATGCTCAGTTCAGGTCGCTTGTGTCCGTCTCGTTTGCCGTTAGTCCACCCGCGCGAGTACTGAAACGTCTGTGAGGCCACCGACGTCATCGTAATGACAATCAACAGGAGAGTCACATTTGTTACCATGGCTGCTAAAATAATAAATAATAATTAATATAATTATTTATTTTATAAATATAATGATATATCACTGATAAGGTATTGATTTTGCCTTATCATAATTTTTTCTTTGATCATTAACCATTTAATAATCCAACCATAATCATATTTTTTTAAAGATTTTAAGTGGAAAATTGTGTAACAAGATGATATTCTACAATCGCTTTCGTTAATAGAAAACTAAAAAAAAAATGGAAATTACATATCCATAACAAGTATATGACGTGATCGAAATATGTCATTTGTATACAATTTTAATGTTACTTAGTTCAATTAGCGATATCGACTGTAGAAAAGCATATAGACTAAGAAAGGATGAGAATGATAACTATATTATAGAAAAGTGTGTATCAGTAATAGTATATAGTACTAGTATAGCTCTCAAGTCTCGGTTTTCTATGTAGCAAGAAAAATCTATGAAAATAAAAAAATAAAACTGAACAAAAACCAAAATAAAAAGAAAAACAAAACAATTATGTAAAATATCTAGAATATCTAGGAATAGGTAATAGTATTTTTTTTATAAACTTAAAATATTTAAAGTGTAAACATCGAACATATTATAATAGCTATGACTATAATAGCTATTAAAATTCAATAAATAATTTAATAACTAATTTATATAGTTTCCTTTCTTAGAATAAAATGTAAGAAACATTATAGATTACAAGGAATTTACTATCACTACATACCTAGTATAAAAAAAACTTTTTAACAAAAAATTAAAACCGACTTCAAACAAAAGCACTAAAAAGTAAAAAATAACTGATTGGTCGTTTTCATTTACTATACATACCTAATCAAATATTTTCGAAGTCGGTGTGCTTTGCTTTGTATGGGCTGGCACCGACTTCGAAAATATTTGATTAGGTATGTATAGTAAATGAAAACGACCAATCAGTTATTTTTAACTTTTTAGTGCTTTTGTTTGAAGTCGGTTTTTATTTTTTGTTAAAAAGTTTTTATTTTTCCCTTTTTAGTGTAGACAGTAGTAGCAAAGTAAGAATTCTAACGTGTTAGGCTTGTCGAATCAAACAAAATAAGCTCAAACTCAAAGTATCTACTATTAGCCGTTGAAGAGTTCCACCTATCCACCTTCTGGCCTTAGCATCAGATCAGGTCAACAATACCGAACCACTGTACTAACAACGGAAATAGAAACACTTGCAAAGTTTCAAGTCAATATGACAATTAGAAGTAGGTTAAATTCATAATTAGCTATTTTTCCACCCTTAACCCTTGGTTTTTTTTTTAAATTTAAATGGGACCAATCTGGAAGTGTACACTTTCAAATAACACAAAAATTGTCCAAATCGGTTAATAAATGACGGACTTCTGAGGTAACAAACATTAAAAAAAAAACAGTCGAATTGAGAACCTCCTCCTTTTTGTAGTCGGTTGACAAAGTCGCTTTCTCTGTCCCTATATCCCTATGTATGCTTAAATCTTTAAAACTACGCAACGGATTTTGATGCGGTTTTTTTTAATAGATAGAGTGATTCAAGAGGAAGGTTTTAGTATATAATTTGTTAAGTTTTTGTATACATTGGCTAAAATATAACGATATTTGTTGGAGGTGTCGGAAAAAATAAGACGTCTGGGAGCTTTCAACGAAAACGCTGCCTAAACCCTTTGAGATATAACAAAATAATGTATGGTGGAATTGTGTATCTTATATAGGTCTACAAAAAAGTCCGCGATGGCATATGTCTATCTCTTAAGGATAACATACTATATCCATTTCAATTTAAAACCTACCTAGGGACGAACCCGAGCGAAGCGAGGGTGAGTCGCTTGTTTATTTTTAAATACCTTCTTTTAAGACTAGAGAGTATGGATTTCTTAAGATAAGTATAGAACCAAGATCCCCCTTAAAGAAAATACGTGGTAATTGGCTGTTACCAGAAAAATACTGTGTTTGTTCTCTCCTTTCACTTGCTCTATAATTATAGAGCTAAGAAGGGAATTAACTTTGTTTGAAATACAAGAAATAGGTTTAGTTAATTTGGACTTGTATTTATAAAGTTATTTTTTTTATTTTATCAGCTTCACTTATAACTATGGAGGTAGGTACATGTAAATCTTGGAAGAGAGAAAGTATGATTCATAATAACCCGACTGCAGCGAAGCACAAAGAAGGTTATGTGTTTGACCTGTATGTATATATGTACATATGTAAGGGAAAGGTGTACGAGATGATTCCCCTAAGGGAGAATGCTTGTAATTTCAATAACGTTTAATTTAAAATAGATTTAAAAGCAGTTTATGATAGCAAATTTATCGATCTACCGGTTTTCAAAATCAAAACAAACAATAAAAAAAGTTTTCATTGTTATATTTCATTATTTTTAAATCTTTGCAAAAGCATCATCTTGGACACCCCGGTATCCAAGATGATCCTTAGGGTGTGGACAAGACGATTCTAGGGATCGTCTTGCCCCTATTTTGGGAATTTTGTGGGTTTTGGTAAAATTAATTAAAAAAAAACAACTTATTCAAATTACAAATGTGTTTATTTATGTAATCTTAGATATTACCGAACTTTGAGGTCAAAATAATCTTATATAAACTTAAATCTTAAAAAGCTTAAATTAAACTAAGCAAGTATTTTAATAATAAATCAGTCGCTAAATTACGGATAACAATCATCACAGCATAAGATCAATAGTATTAAGCATTTTTAACAAATTATTTAATAAATCTCTCCATAATCAACATCAAACTATAAAATCTTTTAAAAATTGGTACTTAGGAAAAAATTTAGTTAAAAATTCTTCATATTAATATTAAGCTCAAAAACTTTTTAGCTTAGTAGGTTAGTTTAGTTAAAATTCTAAACGCGTTTTTCCTAGTGTAAATTCATCAGGATCATCACTATCTATCCCTGCACAAGATGACCCCATTTTTGACATTCACAACATTTTATCCATAATTCACCCATTCAGTATCTTTTTTTTCTTCAGATGACTCAGACTCGAGGATATAAGAAGTTTTCTTCCTCTTATTGAATACTTCTTTACCTTTTCTTCCTTTACGTTTTACAACATCCAGTGCTTTAATCATAGAGTCTCAACCACCCGCCACGATTCGTTTTTCTTCTATAATTACGCGGCATATTCTAAAATAATAAAAAATACTTCTGTGTAATAGATAAGTAAAAGTCAGTAAAATAAGCAATGTGTTAGGTGCAAGATGATCCGCACGGATTATCACGTACACCAACAACCTAATCATCTTGCCCCATCCACCTTTTTTTATCCTTTATTCGAATATAACCGAAATGCTTTCTATTTGAATTATCATGCCATTATAAAAACAAAATAGAACACTTTTGACATCTACTAATGCAAAAAATATTGCATTTGACGGTCTAGAATAAAAGTAACGTAGATTTAAAATCAATCTTACCTATCTTAGATCTACGTCACACAATTATTGTTTTATGTCGTCAAACTTTAATCGTCACTCACGCCGCCATTACGAATTGACTGATGAGAAGGGCCATCGGGAGCTATGTTTTACCAAAGGAAACATCTAGGTGGCATTAGTAGTTTCTGTGTAATTTAAAAGGATCATCTTACCTCAACGGATCATATCGTACACCTTTCCCCTACATATGTATGTAGGTCCGATCTATGTCCCTCGTAATTACTTTTAGTAATTACGAGGTTTAAAGTAAAACGGCTTTACCGATTTTGGTGTTCCGTACGTCGTTAGATTTGAGTGTTATAGGCTACATGGATATTATTAAAAATCAAAATCGCAGAATTCAGGTGCGTTAAAATATTTTTTTTTTAAATAAAACTTCAAATGTATATTTATACACTTTTTTTATTAGTTTTGACGAGTCTCAAACGTTACAATGGGTATACTTTGACATTTTAGCTTTTTTGAAATACGAAAAATGATGTATTTTTTTTTAATTTATATATATTTTTCGAAAACAAAAACGCGATTTAGTCCACTTTTAGTGATCTTAAAATATGTATTTAAAATAATAGAATATATCCCAGAAACATTTTGAAATATTGCTCCAGACGATACAATTTCATCTCATACACATCGTGCCTCACTAACCTCTGCGATTTGCCATTTGAAACTCGTATCAGGTGAACGGTTGTTAGTCTTTTTATATAGACTATTAGGTTCAAAGTATTCTATAAACGGTTTATATCCCTATACTTTTATGCTATAAACATATACTTTATGTATCAAATGGTTGAACAAAATTATTTATTTGTATTTTCTATGCCACGTGTATTCTGGTAAAATACTAGTGGCTCAGTGGTCGTATTGCGACCATAATCGTTATTGTTTTTTTTAATTCATTGTACTAAAGCTCATCAATAGCTACTAAACAAAAAAAATGAAATCGGTTGACAAACAGCGGAGAAAAAGGTACTGAACTGTTTTGTCTTTGCCTATTTATATAGATTACTAGCGACTCGCCCTCGCTTCGCTCAGGTTCGTCCCGTGGTACGTTTTGACGCTTAGTATGGAATAGACTCTTTTTTTTCGTGAATTTTTACGGTTTTTTAATAGTAATTCTGCTATTCGGGGTGAAGACAAATCCAAGAAAATATAGATCATAAAAATCGGTCCAGCAGTTCTCGAGTTATAAGTGTTATAACAAACCCGACTTTGTTATATATATGTATTTGTTGTATATATATATATATATATACATATATATATGTATATATAATACTAGCAGTACCCGCGACTTCGCCCGCGATCAAACTACTAAAAAAAACAAAGTCTTTGTCACACCGACAGCAGCGCCACCTACCGTGTACAATTGTGTTTTCAAACCATCCAGGAGCCCATTGAAATATGCACACAAAATTTTATCCATATCGGTCCAGCCCTTTAGGAGAAGTAAGGTGACAAACACATGTACAGAAGAATTCTATATACTAATATAGATTAAAGTATGTCAACTATTACTGTCAACTATTTTTAACATC